ATTCCCTCAGTACAAACCTTCACCTCTCTCGTACTCATTTCTTTCGCTTACAGGAATGAATTTACCTTTGTTTTCACCAAAAAATTGATAGTGAAGCATATACGTCCTCAACTCTCTCTCTCAACCCGACCACCCTGAAGTCAGCCAGCTAGCAAAAAGCTACAGTTATTGATCCAACTGCTTTCTTGAAATATCTCCAAATGTTTCACAGGCACCTTAAGCTACATGTAGTTTCTCCCACCCTTCTCCAGTCTTCTCTGTATTGCTTATCCGCCCAAAATTCTGCCAGTCATCCTCAACTCCTTTTTCTCCCTCACTTTGACATTCAAACACTCATCATGTTCTGCCAATTTTGAATCCTAAATATGTTTTAAAAGCTACCTCCTTTCCATTCCCACTAACTACTGCTTCTCTATTTCAGACCCTCATCATCTCATCAGCACCTTCTGACTCATGAGCTTCTTGCAGTCTGTTCTCGAAATGGTGCCAGAGTTATTTTTCATAAATTTGAGATGGCTGATGTCATTTTTCCCCCTTACAGTCCTTTAATGACTCTGCCTTGCCTATAAGAGAGAGTTCAAGCCCCTTGATTATGGGAAACCCAACCTTTTATGATCTGACCCTCCCTTTTCTGTGCTGTTTCGCCTTCCTTTTCTCCACCTCATACCCCACACTTGATGCTGTGACAGTACCAAACTATTTAACTTGTCCAAAATATATTATGAAGTTTTACTGGTTGGTATATTTGCTAATACTGTTTTCTTCTGCCTTCCTTCCTTATCTCCAGTTTAACTGATTTAGTTTAACTGCTTCAGGAATTTCCCTTCAGTTGTGCAGATAGAGTTAGGTACCCTGCCTTTGTGTTCCCAGAACAAGGTGTGTTCTCCTGAATCACAGCTTTTATCTTAGCAGATTTTAAATGATCTGCTTCCACCTCTGTCTCCAGCTTTAAACTCACTTTGAGAACAGGAACCAGGTCTTTGTATACCTGTTTGTATACGCAGGACCCAGCATGTATCTAGTACTCAATAAATACTTGTCATATTTGCTCACCCCAGCCCCATACCATAGTGTCCTGCCATTGAATGTGACTTTAATAACTAGCTGATGAATATATAAATGAATGATTGATTTGGTAATTTATTGAACAGCAATAAGGAAACCAGAAGTTGAGACAACTGAAGTTTTTCATGTGAGTGACAGGGAGAAGGGGGATTGCATGAAATGAGAATGGAAACAGATGGAAGAACTAGTTTCGAGATAGATTATGCATTGCTTTAACATGAGTTGGTTTGGGAAGTATGACAAGACATCCCTTTGCAACTTTTGAGCAGATACTTGATCAGGTCAGCAGTTGTGGACAGCACCATAGATAAGGAGAGAAGGATAGAGTCTTCAGTAATGCTTGCACTAAGGGGGAGACGCAGAAGAGTTCCCAGTAAAAGAATCTGAGTAGAAGCCTCTTGAAACTATTAAAACAATCAAAATAATACATTATGAAGTCCAAGGGGAAAAGTTTTAAGAAAGGAATCACTTGTTGAGAAGTGCTTTAGTAACAAGAAGATTGTTGAAAGGGGAAAAGCTACTAGATTTATCCTTTAAAAAATAGTTTTACTAGGTATGTCAGTTCAAATTAACTACTGTTTCTAGAAGTTTGGCAGAGAAGGGAAGGAGAGAGGAGATGGTAATATAAAGGAGATTGTGAAAGTTTTGGGGTTTTTTTCTTGTAAAAAGTATATGCCTATTCGAAAACATAAGAACATTCAGAAGTATTAAATTAAATTGTAAAAGTCTTTCAGCCATTCTGTTTCTACTTCTCTGGTTTAGTATTTATGTATTCAGAACTTTAAAAATATTTTTGTTTCTACAAAAATGAAATCACATTATACATTCTTTTATTGAACATTGGTTTTTTTGTTTTCCCCCACTTAATAGTATATCGTGAAGTTTCTCCACAGTAGTATAAGGGACTGCATAACTTCATTTCTTTTAATGACTGAATAGTATTCCTTGTGATGGATCTATCATCATTTATTTTCTTATTCACTTCTTGAATGATATTTGCCTTCAGTTTTTCACTATTATAAATAATTCTGCTATGACCATCCTTAAACAAATATTCTCATGCTGTTGTATATGTGTTTCTATGGGATAACTTCTTAAAAGCAGAATTATTAGGAGGGTAGGTGCAGTTCTGTTTTATTTTATTTGTGTTGACATATCACCCATAACAGGGCAATACTAATTTACAGTTCCTTCAGTACTGCATTAAAATGCTGTTGCCTCACACACTCACTGACAGTAAGTAATATACTTTCCCACTTAAGAAGTTTTAGTTTCTATTTTTGATGGAAAATTTGATCTTGTTTGAAATTCTAGGAAAGAATCTAGTTGCGAGGAGGAGGAGTTTATAAGTATTAAGAAAAGGAGATGAGCCCTGGCCGGTTTGGCTCAGTGGTTAGAGCGTCCGCCTGCGGTCCAGAGAGACCCGGGTTCGGTTCCTGCTAAGGGCATGTACCTCGGTTGCAGTTTGTCCCCGGCCCTGGTTGGTCATGCGGGTGGCAGCCACTCGATGTGTCCCTTTCACATCGATGTTTCTCTCTCTCTCTCTCTTCCTCTCTCTCCCTCCCACTCTATCTGTCCAAAAAATGGAAAAATGTCCTCGGGTGAGGATAAAAAAAGAAAAGGAGATGATTGACAGGCCCTAGTCACAGAAGGTATGGGTCAGAATGGTATCAAAGAGTATTGTCCAGCTGGTGTGGCACAGTGATTGACCGTCAGTCTATGCACCAAGAGGTCGCTGGTTCAATTCCCGGTTAGATCCCATGCCCAGGTTTTGGGCCTGATTCGCAGTTGGGGGCATGCAAGAGGCGGCCAATCGATACTGTCTCTTCAATGTTTCTATTTCTCTCTCCCTCTCCCCTCCCCTCTCTCTAAAATCAATAAAGAAGAAAAATGTTTTTAAAAAAAGAGAGTATGAATAGCCCTGGCCAGTGTAGCTCAGTGAGTAGGGGTCATCCATACACCAAAAGTTTGAGGGTTGAATCTCAGTCAGGGTACATGCCTGGGTTGCAGGCTCGATCCCAGGTAGGAGGCATGCGGGAGGCAGCCAATCAATGTTCCTCTCTCTCTCCCCATCCCTTCCTCTCTCTCTAAAAAAAATCAATAAAAAAAATTTTTTTTTAAAGTATGAATAAGCCCTGGCAGGTTTGGCTCAGCAGTGAGAGTGTCGCTTATGGACCAGTGTGTCATGGGTTCGATTCTGGTCAAGGGACGTACCTTGGTTGCATTTTATCCCCGGCTCTGGTCAGGGTCATGCAGGAGGCAACCAGTAGATGTGTCCCTCTCGTGTCGATGTTTCTCTCTCTCCCTCCCACCCACTCTATCTGAAGATAAATGGAAAATATCTTTGGGTGAGGATTAAGAAAAAAACAGTATGACTAGAAGGTATGATTTTATTTAGAGATGTTAAGAGAGGAATAGTAGATGAAAATAAATGCAAATGAAAGAACATGTTTTTTATATAGCTATCTTAATTTTTGGGAAATTAGAAACCAAGTGCCCTGTCAAGATAGAGGATTACAAGGACGGGGTTTGGAATAAAGATACAGAAGAGCTGTGTAAACTGGGGAAAAGAACCAGAAGAATCAGTACTACAACTGATAAGAACTGGCTGGCTTTGGGAGCTTGGCTGAGCTGAGAGTGAATGAATTTGGGGGAAGCCAGTAGTCTTGGTCACATTATCACACAGTACAATTTGCCTGGGTTTGGGGCTTCTGGGTTGAAGTAAATTTATCTTACATTCACAGTGAGTTAGTTTGATTCTCCTACTTTTCTATCCCATGAGTAGAAGTTATATGAGCTAAGATATACATCCATTAGTGATTCCTCATGGGAAAATGATCCCTGGGTTCTGGTTAAAAAAAATTTTAGAGTGTAAATTTAATATATTGCCTTATGCCCATATAAAGCCATACTGCATGAAGCCATTTAATTTCTTGGTCTTTATTAATAAATTACAATATGAACATACTAAAAATCTGATCAATACAAACAGAAGGCCAGCGACTTGGATGGGTTTACATGATTTGACTTCTGGCCCAGGGCCACCTGGGATTAGTAATACTCTATCAATACTTTCTTGTCTAGAGGTTATCTCTGCTTCAGGGGAGTTTAAACATCCTAATTTTTAGAATCTTACTCTTTGAGTAAAAGTCTTCTTTTTTATCACTTTAATTTTCACTTTATGGGCATGGGAAAGAGAAACCAAAGTGTCATGATTCTGCGGTGAACTTGTTAGAAAGAGACGGCTGGGAACAGGAAGGGAAAGAGATACATTATCAGAACATTGCTCTCCAAAAAATAATATAGGAGGAAATGTGCTAAGGTAGGAACATAATTTATTAGAGAGAAAGGCATACACGTGTGTTTATTTTTATTAAAATCCCTTTTACTCCATATTTACCTTGTTGATTTATAATGAGGTTATGTGAGGTTAGAGACCAGTTCTTCCACATGCATCATTGTACTACCTTCTTTGGGTACATAATAAATACTATAACAATTGAAAATGAGAAATACAATTGCACTTTGAAGCAAAATGGTGATCTTTTAATTCCTAATGTTCATTTTTCATACTTGAAAACATTTGAGTCATGCAGGTCTTATTTAGCATACTTTTTACTTCTACGGATACTCTGGTTCTTAAGTCATACTCCGTGGCTTTATTAGCAGTTTCACGGGTCTGAGTCTCAGGTCCCCAATTCTAAATATAGGTTTTTGGGGGATAAAGACCATTTTCTTCAACATTATTATGGCAGGACACAACAAAAGACCTTCAATAAATTATTTAAATTATACCTCAGTAAAAAAAAAAGAAGAAGAAAAAGAAAGTTTTTACTGCTATGAGTTGTATTTCAACTCATCCTGAATTTAGACGCTTTTGTGTGATCTGTACCCCCTCTATGCTCTCTGAGTTCATTCATATTTTTTCTTTTCAGTTTGTTGATGTCAGCATGTGATGGTTGGCTGCATGGAACCTCATCATCCATCAAAAAGAAGCAAGAGTCCACTAACAGTGGAGAGAATAGAAGGGAGAAGAAGACAGTTGGGTTTCAGTCACCTATAGAAGATGATGCCCTGTGGACATGTGAAAAGAAAGATACACATCGACCCCAAAGAGGTAAGCGTAGCATCTATAGTAGCATAATGAGAACCTGTTGGGGAAGGTTGCTGGTGGCTGCTAGCCATGAACTCCAGGTGATTTCCTACAACCCTGGGCAGGAGTTAACATATATCCCAAGCTGGCTGCCTGAAGACCTGAGGCAGCGCGTCTAGGTCAGTGCGTCACATCAGCATTTCCCTTAGAGCACTTGTGAGACTGTCCCGTCTGTCCCTCCTTCCGCAGGCAGCAAACTGTAACCGTTATTCAGCAGTAAGCATAGTCATGGACACAAAATAATGTTCAAAGTGAGAAAAGAGGACAAGAAACTGAACATAAATCTCTGCTGGGAAAGTAAACTTGAACAACTACAGTTAATCTTCAATTAACTGGAAATATGGGGAGGGTAGAGGAGAGGTCATGGATAAATTCTACATTGCGGCTGAAACAAAACCTCATAAGTCCTAAGTGTGTACTGCCTAGCAGTCTTAAGTACCAGTAATTCTTCCTATTTTATATGTCATGGATATTTTTTTAAATCAATTATAAATAACTGTGTGAAATGTTGAGTGAAGCAGTTAAATTTAATTGTGTTTCCCAGTTGTTTCTGAAGTGGCTTTGGCTTACTCTTTCCGGGAATTATTATTTTTTTTCTTTGTTATTGAATTTACTGGGGTGACATTGTTTCATAAAATTATATAGTTTTAGGTGTACAATTCTATAATACATCATCCATGTATTATATTGTGTGTTCACCGAGTTCTCCTGGAATTATTAAGGGAAGGATTGGGAGCAGAATGGAGCGACTCTGAGCTTATTGCTCCCTATACAGGGGGCAAAGGGCCAAGGTCAGAGCGCCCTCTGCTCACCTCTGTTCCAGACACCTTTCCTTCCTGCTCATAACCATCAACCCTGATTTCCTTCTTATTTACCTCTTTTCCACTGGGCTAGCCCTGGCCTACCTCTGGTATTAAGTAACTAAGTTTTCACAGTCTCTTCAGGCACTCGCTGGGCTTCGGAAACTACACAGTGCTTCCTGAGATCCTGCAGGTGGACATTCCCTGCCTTTCCTCCTCCTCTGCCAGCGTCGTCACGCTGCTCCGTTCGTTTTCCTTCTGATTAGTCTAGAAATTGTTTAATACTCTCCCAGATAACTGAGAAACAGTCATTCCACACTTCAAAGCAGAAACTATCCACAGTCTGAAACAAAAGCAAAGGTTGATGTTGTTTGACATATGGAAAAGTTCAGCAGACCTCCAATGCTTTAGGACAACTTAGAAACAAAAATGAAGTTCAGGAGGCTCCGCGTCTGAGGTGGACTCTTTCTCGTTTTCCCTGTTAGCAGGCCTTCAGAAAGGGGGTGCTCTTCTTTTGGCTTCCTCTGTTCTTAGCCATCCCATCCTGGAGAGTGGCCAACTAGTCAAATCGGTGTGGTGGTTGCACTGCAAGGCTTAACATAGTTTCTGTTACCTTGTCACCAAATTTTTGTTGTATGTCAGCACTAAAATAAAATGCCAAAGTGAGAAAAATATAGTATAATAGCAAAGGGACAAATAACTAGTGTTATTGGGTAAGACCACAGCCACATTAGAAAGCTGCCATTGAAAAGGCACTTGGAGAAAGGTATCGTCTGGCCAGCCCTGGCCGTGATGGAGCTTAATCTCTCCCAGGCCCGGCTCCAGAAGCCGGAAACCTGGAAGGGGCTTGTGTCAAAAAAAAAATCAATTTCTAATTTGAAACAAAATCATTTTTGACTAACAGGGGTTCAGAACCCATTACTTTTCACTGTATAGTCTGCTGACATTTCAGCACTTTCTGTTGTGCACAATGAATCCTAATAGTCATTTTATAATGTTGCTCTACCAATCAATTTAACCAAGAGAAAGCTGTTATAATTCTGCAAAGTTTCCAGGAACGGTTTTCACTCATGGTTTTATTTTTTTCATTAGGTTTTTTTTCCTTCCTTTTTCGGGGGGAGGGGTTGTAGGGTTGCAGTGAAAAATGGAAACTCTTTCATCTTTTTAAAAGAGTTTTGTTTCAAGGCACTGTGCTCACAAGAATTAACTTTTATTCCTACTTGTAAGAAAGGTTATCTTGTATTTTTCTCTTCTTTTATTCTAATATGGAGCGTTAGCAGAGTTATGATGTACCTGATCGTTGAAGGAGGGCCCCTTTGAGTCATTCTGCTCATTGCAGAGCTGGTGTACACAGATTCCAGTACACTCAAAGTATTTTTTTGCTGTTTTCTGTGGCACCCAAGCAAACGGGAGACACTTTCCAAGGTGTGCTGCAGAGGGTTTGAACATCTGTTTATCATTAAGGCCAGTGACCTACCACTAACTCCCTAAGTTACACTGTTTGGTTAATTGTCTCCTTAATTGTTTTTCCCTTTTTAGTGTGTCTGAATTTTTTAGTACACTTCTCTTCTGTTTTATATCCTTTTTTTCTTTTGTTGGCCTTTAATTATTAAGTACTACATAGGGCATTTACTGCAGGACCATAAATCTTTATTATCAGTTTCTTTCTCCTTTTTCTCTCCTACCCCCTCATCATTCTGTCAACTTTATACATACTAAGCATGTTAAAGAAAAGGAAAAAAAAAAAAAGACCTGACTCTTGTCTCAAGAAACAGTCTTGAGATCGCAGAAATATGTACAGTATTGTGAGAATTACACTTAAAATGTAAATTGTTTTTTGATCAACAATGCTTGGAATGTTTTATTTAGTTGCTTTTATCAAGCTGCGTGGAACAAGGAGACATTACTTAGGGAAATCTAAACCTGAGTCAGGAACTGCTAAGCCATTCCTCCTTTCTTCTTCTTACACCACAGTGTTTTTCCCTCCCAGCTTGTCTCAAACCTCTTTTTTCTGAGCAATCACTGATTCACTTTCACGGGAGGCCGAGAAGCTGAGGGCAATTGTTCCTGTTTTGCTAACAGTCTGGCAAAAGCTGTGCTGCCACTGAGCACACATGTTCAGAACTGAAAAGTTAGACTTCAGGGCTTGTCACTGCTCATTCCTACATCAGCATCCCAAAGCCCTCTGCTGCACTTAGAGCTACCTCCTCCTGTTGGTTGCTCTCTCATTTATCTCCGGATCTCCTGAAAACTTTGAGTTTGAGAGAGGCTGAATTAAGAGTAATTTTGGTCTACCTGGTGGTGTTGACCAGGCCTTTCATTTTGTCTGGGGCTCTTTTGGGTTATGCATATACAGCAGCTGTCACTGGTTGAGGCTCCCTGGGGGGGCTTCGGAACACATTTTCTTTTACTGTAAGAGGGTTACTGTCGACTCCTCTGAAGTGACGAGTCATCTCTGAAGCTCCCAGTGGCCCCCCCAGTGCACCTGTGCCTGCAGTGACGTGAGTGCTCCCTGTCCTACGTGGCGCATTAATAGGTGACATGACAAGAGAAATGTTAGAGTATCCAAACTGCAGGACCACTTCCATCTTGCCTCCAAGGAGCGCTTATTTATATTTATTTCACTACTAGCATCATCATTATGATTATGTGTTTAATCAATAGAAAAGGTACCACATATTACTTCTGATTCCCAGAAATCAGAGCTAAAAGATCTGTTAAAAGCTGATGCCTTATCAAGAGAACACAGAAGACAAGCAAAGTACAGGGCTATGAATAAACCCAAACATGTAGACAAATTGTCCTGCCCAGTCCACTCAAAAAAAGAACACAAAATTTGTAAGAGACTAGCATTGAATGTTGAAGTCACTATATGTGACATATTGTCACTTAAACCAGAGCCTCTACATTTTTCATCCTCTATAATAGAAAGAAGTATCTCAAAATAGTGTATAATTTTCTTATTTATTATTTACATTTTATCTTTCTCCCACTAGAATATAAGCACCCCATATGCTCACTGTTATACGCCCCCCTGACCATTGCTTAATATGTGGTAGATGCTCATTATATATTTGAGTGAATTAAAGTAACATTATAGATACTGATTCTGTGTCCTTGCCCCATTTTCCCACAAAAAGGATCTAATCAGTTAAACCTTTTGACCTCAGTTCCTGCAGTGATTTAGTGATTTAAGAAATGCATATGCCTGTCCCTTCAGAGTCCTTATGGTGATTGATTGGCAATGTCAAAGAGATACCAGTAGAGTCTTAAAAATAGCACTGTGGAATTTTTTCATTTTTTTTAATTCTAACTGAGGTTTAATTTATATACAATAAAATTGCATAGATCTTAAGTGTACAGTTTGAGAAACATTGACAATTGTATATATCTATATAACCATCACCCAATTAAGATGTAGTACCTTTTCATTATTCATGACAGTTCCCTTGTGTTTCTCTCCAGTAGCTCTCCCATGAGGCCTCTCTTCTTGGCTTGCAGATGGCTTTCTCCTTGTGTCCTCACAAAGCCTTTCTCTGTGAGCATGTATCCCTGGCATATCTCCCTCTTCTTGTAAGGACACCAGTCATATTGGATTAGGGCCCATCCATATGACCTCATTTAATCTTAATTATCTCTGGAAAGGTTCTCTCTGCAAATGCATTCTGAGGTATACTGGGAGTTAAAACTTCGACATATGAATTTGGCAAGGGGAGAGGACATAATTTAGTCCATAGCAGCTACTTTTTTCTAATCTTTATGCCTTTTATTTTTTTCTTATCTCATTATACTGTCTAGGATTTTTATTACAATTAGAATAAAATGGTAAAAGTAGACTTTACACCTTGTTTCTGGTCTCATAGGGAAAGCAGATACTCTTTCATTAAGTATTATTTTAGCTGTAGGTTTTTTAGTAAATGCTATTTGTCACGTTATAAATGTTCTCGTTTGCTGTGAGTTCTTATTGTAGTGAGTATAGAATTTCATCAAAACTTTTTCTGCGCCTATTGAGGTGGTCAGAGTATAAATTCATAACAACTTTGGAAAACAGTTTGGCATTATTAAAGATAAAAAAACATCCAACCTGTATCCCAGCAATTTCTTTCTAGGTATATACACTAGAGCGAATCTCATGCACACAATGATTAACTTACAAATATGTTCCTAGCTGTATATTCAGTTAGGGTAGGCTGAACTATGGTAACAAGTGGACAGAAAAAAATCAGTGGTTTAAAGAACAAAAAGTTTTTCCCCCTGTAATGGTCCAGGGGAAGAGTTTAGGTTGACAGCAGCTCTGCTCCAAAGGATGATGGCGCTGCCTTCTTTTTGTGCCTTCCAAGATCACCGTGAGCATTGCAGTGACACAGGGGTGGGAAACTTGGTCCAAATCTGGCCCACTACTGGTTTTTGCAAGTAAGTTTTATTGGAATGCAGCCATTTGCATATTTCACATATTGTCTGTGGCTTTTTTTGCACTACAGCAGCAGAGTTGAACAGCAACCGGTTGGCTCACAAAGCCTAGTGTATTTACTATTTGACCCTTTACAGGTAACTGTTGGTTGGCCCTGCCATAGCAGGTCAGAAAGAACAAGGAAGGGTATGGAAGGGTACATGTGGAAGGTTTTTATAGGACAGGCCTGAAGTGGCACACACAATATCCACTAGTTTTCCTCCTGACCACCTAATTACAAGGTGGAATGGGAAGTATAATCTAGCTGTGTACCAGGAAGAGGGCAACAGAGTGCATTTTAGTGGTTAACTGGCTTCCTCTGCCACAGCAGCATCGTCTTAATAGCCCCAAACCAGAAACACTCCAAATATCCACCAACAGTAGAATGGATACATTGTCATAAATGCATAAATGGAATACTGTATAGCAAAGAAAACAAACTGCAGCTGCATAAATCATCAATATCAATAAATCTCACAAATATAATATTGAGCTAAAGAAGTCTTAAAAGGAATATATATAATATATTTTATAAAGTTCAGAAGCAGCAAAACTGGGTCACATTTTTGGGATGCATATCAAACGGTAAAGCTGAAACAAAAAGGGAGTCGGTATGAGAATAGCGGCTGGCTTCTGTGTTTCCGAGGGGAGAGGAGCTGTGACGGAGAATCACTGGTGGTGCTTCAGATTGGCAGTGCTGCCGGGACTTCATTTCTTCATTTGAAAAGGGTTACACTGGTGTTTTCTCTATCACTTACCCTTTTTTAAAAATACGTTTTTATTGATTTTTTTGAGAGAGAGGATAGGAGAGATAGATAGAAATATTGATGTGAGAGAGAAACATCTATTGGCTGCCGCCCGCACACCTCCTACTATGAATGGAGCCTGCAGCCCAGGCATGTGCCCCGACCAGGAATTGAACCAGGACCTCTCAGTCCATGGGACTACCCTCAGTTCACTGAGCCACACCAGCTGGGCATCACTTACTCTTTAAACTAAACTGAATGTATAATACAGCTCAGCTGTCCTTAAAATGCAAAATAAAACAAAGGGCCCAGAAACAGTTTTCTTAAACATTGAACTCTAAGAAGTTATCTTATCAGGAGATGTTAATTGATGGACGGGCAGACACAAGCCCAGCCATATGTAAATAGGACATGATCCATTATGTTCAATTCCATCTGTGCATGCAAAAATGTGTTTATTTACATAAACATATTCATATATATTTACCTATATATAATCATGTACACTTATATATGAAATTTATCAGCTTAATGGATAATATTCTTATCAGCACTTTTATTTTTAAAATGTGTATATTGTGCGTGTGTGTGTGTATGTATAAATATAGAGGAATGTGTAATTCTATGAATATGCATAACTGTATGTTAACTGTTGGTATACTAAACATTAAATCAAATTTTATAGAAGGAATGAATATAATTAAAAGCTGATATATCGCTTTCTAGAAACTTAATAAGGAGTAGAGCCTAGAGAATTAAGAAAAGGAATAGACTTGCCATAGGCATAGCATCCACACATCCTGGAGTACAGCCATGGGTGCTGCTCTGTGCCTTAGAGCAGTCGCTCTTAACTCTTTTGGGGTCTCATAACCTTTCCTACCTTGATGAAATCTGTGGTTCTTTGCCCAGAAAAATGGAAGAGCATATATACACTCATTATTGTGCCTGCACTTAGGAGGGAGTCACACTTTCCTGAAGCACATGCACGGATCCCATTAGAAGTCCTTGGACCCTCTGTTAGAATTTCTTTCTGTTGTTCCCATCAAATGTCAGTTGTCTTGACCAAACTTTTGACACAAGTATCAAAACAGAAAAAAAATAAGACTAATGTTGAGGCCTTATGTGATAGTGACTAAAAAGATATTTATTCTGTCACTACTACCAGGCATTTCTTCCCTCTCACTTGGCCCACAAATCCCTCTCAGTTGTTCCTACTCCTATTTGCTTATTATAATTTCCCATCCCATCCCCAGAATTCTACCCAGACAGTGTAGTAGTAGTGAACCCTGCCTCCGTTCTCTCTGTTTTACTCTATTCTAAATTCTGGCACAAGAGTAATATCTCCAAAGACCAGTTTTGTTGTTGTTTTTCATTGTCATTGTTGCTGCTTTGTTTTATTTTTGAGGCCAACTAGCACAGTGTGTAAGAGTTTGTAGTACAGACCTGGGTTTTATTCAAAACCCAACCTTGCTTTACTAGCCCTGTGATGCGCCACTTGACCTTTTCACACTTTCCACTTCCATAAAGTGAGGATGATGATATAACTTAAGGACTGATGAGATAATGCATGTAAAGTGATTAGCAAGGTACAAGGACATAGTGATGCTCAATAAATATTTTCTGACTAAATATTTAGCCTTGAGGTTTTTAATTTAATGCTTTTGCTAATTCCATGCTCCTTATTCCTTCCTATCAAAATTGCACCTCCTGCATTAAATCTTCCCTAATGCTATAGCCAGATGTGATCTCTCTCACTTCTTAATTCCTCAGTCGTTTCGTGCTATTTAATAGGCAGTAACTAGCATAGTGGTGAAAACTCCAGCATCAGATTGTCTGGACAGGAATGCTGGCTCCATCACTTACTAGCTTGGTGACCTTGGCAAGTCCTGTAAGTCTCTTATGGCTTATTTCCTTAGACATAAAAATAGTATTTATCACAAAGGGTTTTTATGAGAATAAATGTAACTAATTTCTGGAAATGACCAAACAATAGAGCTAGAGCTGGTGGGACAGTAATAGACAAGCAAGGAAGAAAGAAACTACAAATGGGCATAAGAGACCTTTTTGGAGTGTGGAAATATTATAAAACTGGATTGTAAAAATAAATAAGCAAATACCATGACAAAAATGTTTAAAACTGGGTTGTGTCCATGCTTCCATAGCTGAACAAGTTGCTACTATTTATCAAACTATACACCTAAGATGGTTAACTTTTACGGTATTCAAATTACACCTCGATGAAACTGTTAAAAAAAAAGAATATATGGTTTATGGAAAAGGCTTAAAACAGTACCAGGCACTTACTAAGCACACTATATTTGTTATTATTACCTTATACCGCCTCGGGTCATTTATGATTCTTTACAGCATTGTTCAGAGTAACTCATTTTCTTACTCTCTCACACCTTCCTTTTTCCCACCTCTAAACTAAGCTTGAGCTTAATCCTGGCACCAGCCCTCGCCTGTCATTAGGCACTTGGCAAATATTCACGGACTGAATGTACTATATGGACTGATGAGTTGTGTCTAGTATGAGAATGTACTGGTTTGGGCTGAGGGTCCCACAGGTTTGTGTACACAAAAAACAATTGTGCATTTGGATGGCTGGTGGTTTATATCTATATATAATGGTGAGCAGTTAATACTGAGTATAGCTTTAGAATACCAAGGTTCATGGTGATTGCTCTTGCTTTCTCTAGTCCTAATTTTCTGTGGTCACACCTAAACTGTTTGGTTCCCGAAGTTAACATACTGTATTCTTGGCATTTTAGGATCCGGTATTCCCATCACACCAAAGCTGTCTTTGTGTTATTTGAATATTCACCCTTTTCTCAAATAAAGAGTGAATCTTCCCAAATAACTTCTTCAAGCAGCCTGGATAACAATCTCCCAGGAACCAGAAGAAAGTTGTGAATGAGATTCTGACAGCCTTCCAGAAAACACAAGGGTGTTTTGTGTTGTTTGGAAAATAATATTAAGATGGGGAGGAGATATTATTATTATTAGAAACACTAATAATTAGAAACAAACAACAACAAATATTTATGTTTATGTCTTCTTATTTAGCACTTCAGAAAAGAAATTATCAACTAAATGTTGCTTGTTAGACAGGAACAGAGACCAGATTGGCCCCAGGGTGGTTAATTGAGCACCTTGCCCATAAGACATCTTTTTACCTTACCCCAGTAAGAGTTCTTTGAAAGAAACATTCAAGGTTCATGTCTACCTTGAAAGTTTTGGGGGCAGGATAAGATTAATTTGGGGGTGCAGGGTTGGAGATAGAAAGTGTGGACTTTTCTATTTTGTCAAAGAGAAGAATGATCTTTTGTTATGGTAGTTAAAGGGTATGAAATAAAGCAATCTACCATTTTCGCAATAAACCCAAATCAGCAGGAATGTGAGAGGACATCAGGTTTTTAAAAAATCTCTAGTTAGTCTGTTACTGCACAAATGTACTTTTTTTAAAACAAGATATTGCAGATCTCTGATGTTTACAAAATCAAAACAACCCGCTGAGTTTCCCATCTGTCATTGTTTCATTTCACGGAGGTGCGGAGGATGCTTAATTTCAAAGCTTAGGGATTCCTATTATCTCTAACATATTACTCAGAATGGACTTTTTCATTTCCTTTTATTGAATGCTCAAATTATTTTCTTTATTGTTCATACAGGGACAATGACAGGAATTAGAAAAGATGCATCCACATCTCCTATGACAACAGAAAGCCAAAAGGAGCTTGTAAGCACAACCATGTCATCATTCCAAAACGACACCTCCCGGTAAGCTTTAGGGATTCTTTGATTTAACATTCTCCAGAGAAGAGCATTTTTAAATTTTATTTTTATTGACATATAATTGACATACAATATCCTATTAATTTCAAGTGTACATCATAGTGATTTGATATTTATATATGTTATGAAATAATCCCAAAAATAAACCTAGGAACCATCTGTCACCATACAAACTTATTGCATTATTATTGACTGCATTCCATATGCTATACATTATATCCTTATGACTTATTTATATTGTAACTGGAAGTTTGGAACTCTTAATCCCCTTCACCTATTTCACTTGCCCTCCCCTAACCCTTTCCCTTTCTGGTAACCACCAGTTTGTTTCCTATATGTATGAGTTTGTTCTGTTTTGTTTGTTCATTTGTTTTGCTTTTTAGATTCCACCTATAAGGGAAATCATACAGTATGTATCTCTCTGTCTGACTTATTTTACTTAGTGCAACACCCTCTAGGTCCACCCATGTTGTTGTAAATGGCAGCATGTCATTTCTTTTATGACTGAGCAATAAATATTCTATTATATATATACCACATCTTTTGTGTGTGTGTGTGTGTGTGTGTGTGTGTGTGTGTGTGTGTGTGTATGTGTCACAAGATAATTTATTCAAGTACTGTTGCCTCCAGCATCTGGACAGAAGTCACAACAATGCACTGGGGTTTCAAAAATTAAAATTTAAACCAACCAATAACAAGGTTTCTTACTTTTATACCACATCTTTATCCATTTATCTGTCAGTGAACATCTAGGTTGCTTCCATATCTTGGCTATTGTAAATAATGCTGTGGTGAAGATAGGGGTATCTCTTCAAAATAGTGGGTTCTTTTCTTTCTTTCTATTCAGAAGTGGAATTGCTAGATCATATGGTGATTCTATTTTTAATTTTTTGAGGAACCTCCATACTGTTTTCCATAATGACTTCACCACTTTACATTCTCCCCGACAGTGTACAAGGGTTCCCTTTTCTCCAAATTCTTGTGTTTCCTTTTTCTTTTTGATAATAGGCATTCTGACAGGTGTGAGGTGATAATGTCATTGTGGTTTTGATTTGTATTTCCCTGATGAGTAGTGACGTTGAGCGTCTTCATGTGTCTGTTGACCATCCATATATCTGTATTTTTGAAAAGTGTCTCTGCCCATTTTTTAATCAGAATCTCTTTTGGGGATTTTTTTTTGGCATTATGTTATATACTTTTTTTATATATTTTTTGAACATTAACCCTTTAATGGATGTATGATTTGCAAGTATCTTCTACCATTCAGCAGGTTGCTTTTTTGTTTTGTTGATGGTTTTCTTCACTCTGCAAAAGCTTTTTAGTTTGATGTAGTCTCATTTAGTTTTTGCTTTTGTTTCCCTCGCCTGAGGAGACTACTCTAAAAGAATATTGCTAAGACCAATGTCGAAGAGTTTACTGCCTAGGTTTTCTTCTAGGAGTTTTATAGTTTTAAGTCTTACATTCAAGTCTTTAATCCATTGTGTATTTATTTTGTATATGGTATAAGACAGTGGTTCAGTTAAATTCTTTCCTGTGTAACTGTCCTGCTTTCCCTATACCGTTTATTTATTTATTTATTTTATTTTTTTATCCTCACCCGAGGACATTTTTTGTATTTATCTTCAGATAAGAGCAGGAGGGAGAGAGGGGGGAAGAGCAAGAGAGAAACATCGATTTAAGAGAGACACATTGATTGGTTGCCATCCACACAACCCCAACCGGGGCCAGGGACAAACTGCAACCGAGGTACGTGCCCTTAGCAGCAGTTCTCATCCTGTGGGTCATGACCCCTTTGGGGATTGAATGACCCTTTCACAGGGGTCGCGTAAGACCATCGGAAAAGACATATTTCCGATGGTCTTAGGAACCGAAACACCTCTCCTCTGTTCGTCTCCAGGCGGGCCCGCCTACATGCAGATACGCCCACATACAACATGAGGAACTTTATTAAAGGGTCGTGGCATTAGGAAGGTTGAGAATCACTGCAAGTGGGAACCAAACCCGGGACTCTCTGGTCCATGGGCCAGCGCTCTAACTGCTGAACCAAACTAGCCAGGGCCTATTCCATTTATTAAAGAAACTGTCTTTACCATTTATTAATGAGACTGCCCCCATTGGATATTCTTGCTTCCTTTGTTATAAATTAATTGTGTGGGTTTATTTTTGGGTGGTGTATTCTACTCCATTGATCTATATCTGTTTTCATCCCAGTACCATACTGTTTTGATTTCTTTAGCTTTGTAGTATTGTTTGAAATTAGGGAGCATGATACCCCCAGCTTTGTTCTTTATCAAGATTCTTTTGACTATTTGGGATCTTTTGTGGTTTTGTACAAATTTTAGGATTATTTTTGTCTAGTTCTGTTAAAAAATCCTGTTGGTATCTTGATAGGGATTGCAGATTGCTTCAGGTAGTATGGAAATTTTAACAATGATAATTTTTCCAATCCACGAGCATGGTCTGTCTGTCTATTTATTAGTGTTGTCTTCAATTTCTTTCATCAATGTCTTATAGTTTTCAGAGTACAGGGTCTTTTGCCTCCTTGGTTAAATTTATTCCTAGGCATTTTTATGTAATTGTAAATAAGATTGTTTTCTTAAGTTCTGTTTCTGATAGCATGCTATTCTTGTGTAGAAATGCAACTGATTTCTGTGTATTAATTTTGTATCCTGCAACTTAACTGATTTCATTTATTCTAATATTTTTTAGTGGAATGTTTAGGGTGTCCTATGTATAGTATCATGTCATCTGAAATAGTGACAGTTTTATGTCTTCTTTACATTTTGGATATCTTTTATTGCCATAGAGCATTTTTTGAGGTTTATTTAATAAGGTGCAGAGAAATCTTGATACTTCTTAATGGCTGTTACTCAGGAGAGAGGCCTTGATTTGGCATCTAGATTTGGCCAGGTTGAACTCATGGATCACTTTTCTTTATACGTGACTTTCCCTGGTTGATAATGGTAATTGGCGAGGATTTCCATAGAAACACAAACTAGTCCTATTTTTCATCAAAAAAAAATTTGCTTAGCAGCAAGTCCTTCCCAATTTATCACAGAATGGTTATACACTTGGACTGTAAGTTTAACTAACTGAATTAATTGATATTGAAAAATATAGTGGATTTTTGTACTACAGTTAAAGGACTATCAACATTTACTTATATCAGAAAAATTTGAATGAAGGGTTAATAATTTGATCAGCCTTTTTTGGAATCAGGAAAGTTAATATGTTATTAAAAGTTCTCATATCTAATATGCTAACTCTCATTTATGTATTTAAGGCTGAATATATAAATATCAACACCAAAAGGACTTGGTTTATTTTTCCTTGGGAATATGATTGTTTGAGTGTCTTATTAGTTGAATACAAATTTTATGACAATTTTAATTTTACAGAACTTTGGGGAAATGACACAGAGGATAATAATAATGTCTGTAATCTATTAAGCACCTATATTCCCAGCCCTTTGTATGCATTATCTGACTTAATCTGTATCGCAGCCTTATGAAGTGGAACTACTGTTGTCCTCATTTTAAAAATTAGGAAACGAAGTCTCAGAAAGACTGAGGGACTTGCCTAAGACCACATAGCCAATAGGAGGTAAGCCAGCATTTCAGACTCTAAAGCCCATAATCTTAAATATTATAATAGTTGCCAAAGACAATCTCTCTATTTTGGAGGCCACCCACAATTAAAAGAAAACTTAATTGGTTTACCACATTCTTTGTTTCTTACTCCTTTTTTATTATTATTATTTTTAATACTGCTATTGTTTTGCCAAAGACCCACAGTGAGTTGTGGTTCTGAAATATTGATGGGGTTCCCACCTTGAATCACTTAATGTTGTGGCTGAATGCTTGTGCTCAGAGAGGATCGATCCTTGCTCACCTTGAGATTCCTCTGGAGGAGTTACAGGTAAAGAGGAGAGCAAGCCTGCATTTTCAGTCTTGATGAATTTCCCTATTGTTGAAGATTAAAATGAGATCTTTAACACTCTTTAATGTGTATTTGATGATTGCATTTCAGTTTAGAGAGAAGCATGAAAAAGGAAAAGAAAATGCTTCCCCAGTGAGGGTTTTATAGAACATCCTCAGTACACATTTTCTGAATGGACCATATCAACTTTGTAGAGTTTTACAAGGTCAGTTAAAATTGCTGTAAAGACTCATATTTACGGACCTTTAAAAAAAAGAATTCTTTCTGTTAGTTTTAAATACTGCAAATCAGCTAAATATAGAGTCTCAGAAGCTTTTTAAATAATGAGTCGTTGGCTAAATAAAACGATGTGTAGCAGACCTGATTTTATCCTTAGACGTGCGCGATGGCATATTATAGGTCTAGTCTACAAAGTGCAGAGTTGAAAAACATTCAGTGCTATGAAAATCAGTTACCAGGAAGGCACAGTGGTTGCTTTCCAGATTTCAGAATCAGGATTATTTAAATCATTTTTATTTCAAAGTGTAGAAAAGGCATTTTTATAGACTACTTTTTCAGTTACAGGAAAACTCAATGTAAAAGAAAAACCTATTCTTTGTCAGGACAAACCTTTGAAGGGAAGAGCTTTCCCTGTCCACCCTAAAGGCCAAGAATTTTCAAGACTTGCAAGAGACTCTGGGGGTTGTACGTATGCTAGTGGGAGACAGGTTTTCCTTTGTTCTCTGCAAAGCGCTAATACCTAGAAGTCCCATATCATTTCATATGCAGGTGATAAAACAAGGCGTGGCAAAGTCATCTTTCTCATTCACAGTGTAGGTTGTTAATTGTTCTCTCTGCTGCCTGTCAATATAATGTGAAATTTTCATTCCCCATTCAAGATGGAAAAAGTTGTGGCTGAAAATGTTAACATTTGCATTTTTATTTGTTGATTTATTTAAAGGACAGCCTCTCCTACAGCAATCCATCACTTGGTGACACCCCAAATATGAATAATGTATTGTAGACTTGCAGTTACCATGTGTAATAAGTGCTAGAGACAGTAAAGG